GCGCGCGCACACACCACACACACACACACACACACACACACACACACACACACACACACACACCCACCATGCATTTAGTAATAAAAAGGAACTTTTTGAAACCTGGAAACAGCCACACACAGACTCATAGACTTTAACACAATGTTGTTCTTCCCTGGTTGTAAGTCCACCTCTTGAATGACACATCAGTTGTAATTAGCAATTTATTTAAATCTATAATTACACAGCACACCAGTAATGTGTTCAACAACAGGCAGTCAAAACAAAGCAAGCAAGAAAGAGAGAACATGGTTAAACAAAGAAAATGGTGTTCAAGTTGAGCACAACACACACAACTATGTACTTTCCTATGTTAAGTAACTATAAGCAGTATTCTTTCAGACGTACAATGAATTCTTTCAATCTATTTAAGTCTGAAAGTAAAGCATTACCTTCCTCTTCCATTCTTTCAGGAGCGGAGGAGAAGATTCTGGAAAGCTTCAGGAAGTGCCACAGTCCAGATGCGCTTGACTTCCAGCTGCAGGCCATGATCCAGGCAGCCGGTAAACTGGTGCTGATCGACAAGCTGCTGCCCAAACTGCTGGCCGGGGGACACAAAGTCCTGGTCTTCTCCCAGATGGTCCGCTGTCTGGACATCCTGGAGGACTACCTCATACAGAGACGGTGAGAAGCAAAAGCAGGGTGGGGAGGGGTACAATTCAATGAGAAAATGAAAAGGACAGAAATTAAGAGAAATGTGGAAGGAGAAAAGGAATGGATAAACAGGCAAAGATGGAAGAAGCAGAATGGAAAGAAAGCATTCTAGAGGAAGGAGAGGAATTGAATGATGCATTCATTACCCTTGACATGAAGTTGTTACACATTTTTTTTTCTCCAGCTACGCTTACGAACGCATTGACGGTCGTGTGCGAGGGAACCTGCGGCAGGCTGCCATCGACAGGTTCTGCAAGCCGGACTCGGACCGCTTCGTTTTCCTGCTCTGCACCAGAGCCGGAGGGCTGGGAATCAACCTGACGGCTGCAGATACCTGCATCATATTCGACTCAGACTGGAACCCCCAGAATGACCTGCAGGTGAGAGGAGAGCTCTCTTTTTGTTATTTAATCTGTAGTGGCATTCATGATGCCTTTTGGGCATGCAGTTTTGACAAGATGCACGCTTCACAGGATGACTTTGGCAGTGTTACTTGACTCTGTGGGTTTGAGTCTTTCCCACGGTTTTTATGCAGTGGATGTTTCCATTTCTTGCCAAAATGTTTGAACACTCTCAAAATTGAGTGGCATTTTCAAGAACGGTTGAGAGTCCTCTTTGCTAATCTGTTACATATGAAGTACGGTGTAATATATTCTGTAAGCATTTCTTATCAGTCACCTACTGTGGTCCTTAATCTAAACACTTTCTTAGGTTCGACCGCATGTGCAGTAATAATGCATTATAGTAACGTATTATGTGCTATACTGTTCTTATATTTCATATCTTTTTTCAGGCCCAGGCACGCTGCCATCGGATTGGCCAGAGCAAAGCGGTGAAAGTCTACAGACTGATCACCAGGAATTCTTACGAGAGGGAAATGTTTGACAAGGCCAGTCTGAAGCTGGGATTGGACAAGGCCGTTCTCCAAGACATCAACCGCAAAGGAAGCCTCAACGGGGTGAGAAATTACTTCTTATTAGTGTTTTATTGGATTTGACAAGATTGTTGGATGCTGCACCGTATTTATTTGAAGCTTTTCTTCCGAGATGTGGTCAGCTGTCACAATTTACAAACCGTTAACCTGAGGAAGAAAAAGAGCATCAATTCTAACCCGTGTGGCTTCTTGTTGCTGCAGGTGCAGCAGCTCTCTAAGCTAGAAGTGGAGGATTTGTTGAAAAAAGGAGCATACGGAGCGCTAATGGACGAAGAAGACGAGGGCTCCAAGTTCTGCGAGGAAGACATCGATCAGATACTTCAGAGACGAACTCAGACCATCACCATCCAGTCTGAAGGGAAAGGGTCAACGTTTGCTAAGGTAGAAAGGCCAGAAACTTATCTATTCACAAACCCCTAACAACTACAACATATTGATCTAATGTAGGAAAAAGGTCAACGCCTTAACCCTTGACCTCAGCCCTAGCCTTCTCCATCCTTTATGAAGAAAATGACAGCATTGAGCACAGATGTTTAGGTGTGGTTTGATTCTATCTCTCTTAAGTGGGTGATGTCTGTCAACGCATATCTCCAATCTTGTCCAGTTGTCTAAGTGAAGGCCTTAACTCAGACAGATTTTTCAAATGTTTTATTTTGTCCCATAGTCTGTTTCTGATGCTCTTTGGAGAAAGCCCTGAATACTTGGAATATTTTGGCATGCAGATCAAATGTGAAGATCCGATTGTGGAAAAAAATCAGCAGTTGGCTTCAGTCCAAACATTTGGTTGAATGAATCTGTTTTTTACTGTTTTTTACTTACTCGTCTTTTCTGTTTTTCTTTCCTCAGGCCAGTTTCATCTCATCTGGTAACAGAACGGACATTTCTCTGGACGACCCCAACTTCTGGCAGAAATGGGCCAAGATTGCAGAGGTGGAGATTGACTCCAAATCTGAGAAGGTACAGACAGACGGCAGGAGGAACAGATTCGAGAATAAATGCAGGAGAGGATGAAAGGAGCAAAAGGAAGTAAAGGAGTTTAAAAGAAAATAGACAAAAATAATGAGAAGATGAAGGAAATAAAGGTGAAGAAAGTGACAGAGAAGGGAGCAAAGAAAGGTGGATGCTGAAGATAAAACAAGAGAAAGAGGTCAGACATTAACCACTGAACGGGAGTTTTATTCACATCATGTAAAGGTAAGAAGAATGTAGAAAGAGTAGAGGAGTGCTTGAGATGGGGAACAACATAAGGCTTGGAAAAAAAGGCATCTTATTCAAGTTAGTGAATGCAAAGACGGAGGGAGGGGAATTTAAGCTGAGCTCCCAAATCGGGAAAAGAGTAAACAAGTGCCGGATGGAAATGAGGAGTAAGAAGATGAGGAAAAAAAGGAATCATGTTCTTCCTTTTCCATCTTCTTTTTCCTCCCCATCCCATCCCCCTCTTAACAGATGGACTGCCTTAATGAATGAAGCAGATTGCACACCAAGAACTGCTACTGTCTTCATACCTTGTCTGTATGTGTGTGTGTGGACTATGACTCGTGCCTTGAATCCCTAATAACTGACACTCCTAGTGAACAGAAGTAATGTGCATGTTTGTTCTTTTGGTCTCTCCTCAGGTGTCCCTCTCTTCTGAATACAACCAGAAGATAATAACTCCTCACCTGCTTTGTCTCGTCACAACAAAGTCGACCTTTATCATCTCATTCAAACAAAACTCTTCTCTCTTGCAGGAGTCCTTGGTGATCGACACGCCTCGGGTGAGGAAGCAGACTCGTCACTACAACTCCTTCGAGGACGACGAGCTGATGGAGTTCTCAGAGCTGGATAGCGACTCGGAGGAGCGGCCGTGCCGGACTCGCCGCCTGGGCGAGCGCAGCCGGCGGTACCTCCGTGCCGAGTGCTTCCGAGTTGAGAAGAATCTGCTCATCTTCGGGTACGATCTGAGACTTTTTAGGAATCATTCATATTTGGCTGCACATTTACACACCAGGCCACCAAGCAGCTTCAGTTGAATTAGCAGAAAATAACAAAAAGAAATATTTCCTGGAGCATGTAAGCTGGAGAGCGTTTCCATAGCAGTGGAATGAGCCGGTTTTGTAGTGTAGGTGTGCACAGACTGATAGTTCCTCTTCCTTGGACAGCCAAGAATAAAAAAAATTATTACCAACCACATTAAGTGACTGTTTTTCATTTCTTTCTAAACCGTGTGAACACACATCTCACACACATCTCTCACACCTTGCAGCCAAAATCATAAACCTTGTGGGATGACATCTTACTAATACTCAGTCCAATAAAAAGCTCCTTGTGAGCTCATATCTTTTGTTTACAAGGTTGGTCTGTTGCAAACTCAAGAGTGAACATAAATGAGACAAAATACAACAGAGCAATCTTCACTGTGGTTTGAAGTCAGGAGAATAAATTCTATTTATGATCACACACTTATTGTTTAATGTTTCAGCTGAACAGACAAATATTTATTGCTCTCCATTCTTCTCTGTGACCTGCGGCATCCTCTATCTCTGTCTCTGTCTCCTTTGTTCCTTATCTGCATTTTTACTTCCCTATCCATCCTTCACTGTCCAGGTGGGGTCGGTGGAAGGACATCTTAAACCACGGTCGGTTTAAATGGCACCTGGCAGAGAGAGACATGGAGGTGATCTGTAGGTGAGGAAATCGAGTCTTTCTACATTATTTTACCCTGCAGAGGTTCTGAAATGTCCCAAAGGAATTACAGGGAATTGTAAGTCATACAAGCAACCACCAGGATCAGAGCTATAATGCCCTGATGCAAAGAAACATGTAAATATAAGGAACTCATATTTATTTTTTGTTATGCAGGGCTCTGCTGGTTTACTGCCTGAGACACTACAAAGGTGATGATAAGATCAAGAGCTTCATCTGGGACCTGATCACACCCACCAAGGAAGGCCAGGACCAGGCGCTGCTCAATCATTCTGGTTAGTCTTTCACTGTTAGCTTGCACTGATGTTAGCCTTGGACCTTAAGAGCAGTCCCCTGATTTAGCATTGCACCCCTCTAACTCTTGATGAAAATCAATGCAGCAGGACCAGATATATTGTTCTTCTTTCTTCCACACATTCTTTTTTCTCATAACCTTGTGCCTACATTAGCCACAAAACTTGATCATCAGCAGTTTAATTGATGAGATGCTAGTAGTGGCTAATTTAGCTTCAAGCAGAGATACAGAGGTCTAGTTAGCTCGCCTCTTTCCAACTGCGAGTGGGAGGAGTATATAGCGAATGTTTAAAAAAGCTGGAGCCCTGCCTCGTCTCCTGCTCCATCCTGAGCCAGTTTTGCTCCGGTATAGTCTGCCTACCACTTGTGTACTACTGTAATGTCCCCAGGATCATTTCCACACTTCCATTCATTGTCAGTTTGGACTGAGACTGGCTGTTTATGTCAGGAACGCATTTCTCTGTGCTGGTCAACAAGCTCCTCAAGACTTGTAAACAGTAAAATTCACCTTTAACTTAACTGTAATGTTTCTGTCAGATGAAATATTGAATGGATAATTTTACCTTACCCACCCTGCTTAGCACTTACTGCCTATATTTATTAAAATGTTGGCATGTAGTGCAGTATAGGAATCCATGGTGGATTTGCCTTAATGGTATAGTTATTTTCCCCCCTCCTTCTCCGTCCCTCTTTGTCCCAGGTCTATCAGCTCCAGTTCCTCGGGGTCGGAAGGGGAAGAAGCTGAAGAATCAGCTGAATGTTCCTGAAGTGAAGAACGCTGACTGGCTGGTCCACTGTAACCCTGAGGTGGTTCTTCAGGACGAGAGCTACAAGAAACACCTCAAACAACACTGCAACAAGTAGGTTTACGAATCACAACTCTAATTAACAGGATAATTATACAGTAGTCTACTATTGTGTAACCAAACAATCAGAACTTTAATTACCTGGATGAAAAAGGTTGATGATATAACAGTTGGACCTTTTTCTCTGTGATTCTTTAATGTTATCAATTTTAACTACTTTTGTTGTGTAATGTATGAGCTGTAGAACAACAGCTACTAGAAACACTACAATCAGCAGTAAAGGTCATTTTATTTAATTGACTAGTAATCAGTGATTTGTAGCAATTTATAGCTGCTTGTAAACCAGAGGTGCTTAAGAAGACAGCAGTGTTATAAAAGCCTTTGACAACAAAGCACGAGTATAGAAACAGAGCTGTGTGCTTGTTAAATGTTAAATGTTTTGAGCTATTTATTTGTTTTTATGAACCATTTACTCCTTGATATCAGCTTGTGAGGCCAGATAATTTATTTAATATTCAGAAAGCGTGTTGACGGAAGGACTCTGATTCACAATGTTGCAGAGATTACAAACCATCTGCAAAAAAAGAGAGAAAGACATTAAAACGCATGAAAACAAAACACCAATAAAACGCTTTACAGTCACACACTGTGGAGTAATTTAACCAGTCTGAACAAACCGAACTGCAGTCCATTCAGAGTGAGAGTAATGTTTTACTGTGGTGCATTTATGAGACAAAGTACAACCCCCTCTCTCTCCGCCTTTCTCTCCCCAGGGTGCTACTGAGGGTGCGGATGTTGTACTACTTAAAGGTGGAGGTTTTGGGTGAGGCTGCCAATCAAGCTCTTGAGGGAATACCTGCCAGGTATGGAGCGAGCACAATGTTCTTTATATTGTAACTGCTAAACAAAACTTTATTGGACTGACACATGCGGAATCTGTCAGGAGATTGACAAATATTGGCTCTTTGAATGCTTTCTGCTCGTTTACAGTGAAGTGAAAATGTACGAGATGAAACTGAAAGTGAGAGTTAAACACTCAAACAGTCAGAAAGATGTATGATTGACAGCCTGAATGTTTTTTGTGTTTCCAGTGTCCTGATTTGACACTGACAGCACTGATTGATTGTTTGCATGTGTGGCTGTTTGTGTTGACAGTAAACTTGAGGTGTCACTACCCGACATCGACTACATAGAGATTCCAGCTTCATGGTGGGACGCAGACGCTGACAAATCTCTCCTCATTGGAGTCCACAAACACGGTGAGGGCCACTGTCAACTTTTAGTTTGACACTTTCTTGACATGCACCAAAATTGTAGGTTTTTAAAAATGATCTTTTATGTCTATTTACTCATGAGCACAGTTGTGATTTAAACATAATTCAGTGGATATTTGCTTATACTGAAAGTCATTCAGGGCACAAATGTGGCATCTGTTATTTATGTATGTGTTGTGTGTTGCGCCCACAGTGTGTGTGTCTGTGTGTGTGTATTCCTGTGCTTTAATGGGGTGTGTGTCTGTCAATGTGTGTCCTTGACCAGGCTACGAGCGGTACAATGCCATGCGTGCGGATCCAGACCTGTGTTTCCTGGAGAGAGTGGGAATGCCAGACGTCACAGCGCTGTCTGCTGAACAGGGAGGAGGGGAGGGGGTCCCCGACATGGCTGACAGGTACGTGTACATGCACACACACATTCACACACAGTAGAAAAACCTAAATGTGATCTAAACACACCCTGCTCATACCTTACTGAATACAGACACACTAAACTCACATGAATGGGTTCCCCCCTTTTTCAAATTCATTTCCTTGCCTTTTATGTTTTCTCTATCTATCTGTGATGTTTCTGTGTTGTATATAATTACAGAAAATAGAAATAAAAGAGCATCTTTGGTCAAGATGCATAGGGGAGTGAAGTGTAGCTTCATCCTGTCTGCCCTTGAGCAGACTGACACAGACCTGCAGCTCAGTATGCATCCATGACACAGACAGTGAAGAGATAGACAAAGGCAGCGATGTAACCTGGTGGCTACATTTTTATAGTCCTGAACTCAGACCCCCAGCGCAGGCCAAATGATAATGTTAAGTAATTGTAAAACACACTTTATTCAGACTCGGCAGATAGGTGGTGTCTGAGTTAGATGAAAACGTGTTGGCTCTACACGCTGTTGCTGCCTTTCTAATGCCCGACTTCCCTCTCGCTCCTCTCCTGCTTCACGCCTCCCGGAGTCCCCGGAGTCCTGGTCAGAGCCGCTGTAAATCCCTGTTGTCAAACTGGTCCAAATAAACCCGTAATTCACAGAGTTGGATGTGAAAATATTCTGGCTCTACTTGTGTTAGTGTGTCAGTGTGAATTTCTGTCGCTAAGCAGCAGCTCTCGTTCTGTGGAGTCAGACCTTTAAATTAGCTAAATAAAATGACAAAAATCTCAACAAAAAAACCAACCGGTGATGGACCTGTGCTGCCACATATTCCGAAAGACATTTTTAATTAACGTAGCACATACAGTAGTCCACACACAGTAACTATGGAGCTTCCAGGCATAGAGAGTCTTACACAAATAGTAAAGAATGGTACAAAAGTGACACATGTATGTTCACAAATCGGCTTCCCCGCAGATCTCCAGCAGGAGTCACTTCCTCCTTGCAGCAGTCGTCGTTTCTTTTCCTCTCTGTAGTAGCGTTCCCAGCAGGTGCCAACACTGGTGCGAAAAACACATCCTGTCCTCTCCGATGCCATGTTTGTTTTCGTCGACACTGCCACCTCCCCGCCCACACACCTGCTTTACATACCGAGTGCGAAGAACAAGATTACAAACACACTGAAATACAAATATACAAGCAAAGGGTGACATCAGGGTGCTAATTATGTCCGTAGCAATGAGCGTGTTTTAATGATAGCCTTACACTGGGCAAGAGATACATATATATAGATATCAGACTGACACGCACATACAGCTGCAGGTGTATTTCCATAAGGTATTTAATTTTTGCCATAACCTACCACTGAACTCTAAAAGGTTTATGGTTTTTCTACGCAACAACTGTGAAATCTGTCCTCACAAGTCATTTTTCTGGTAGTTTGACTGTACTCACGAGTCGCGCTAGAAGAACCCACACAAGCCAGAGAGGAATAATTGACAGAGAAAAAGAGGAAAGCGAAAACATAGCGTGGGAAATTTATTTTCTGGGTGCTGCTGCTCCGGCTGACAGCAGAACTATGAAAATGAGACACACAGGAAGCTTTGATCCTGTTCCTGAAGGTAATTGAAGTTGTCATTCGCTTTGTTACCTGTTCAACCTGAAGTTGTTCCCAGCTGAGCACAGCGACTGTGATGGCAGGAAGAGTCTCAAAATGTTAACCTGACAGACTTCCTACACAGGTTTGAAAGGGGATGGGGGAAAAAATAAAGGAAAACGCAGAAGGGAGACATTAAAAGGATGAACACCGAGGCTATAGTACAGTAAATGTGGTGGCTCAAAACCTGCATAAAACGTTCATTAAAAGTGTTAGTGTTTGCTACCTGTGGAGTCGGCACCACAGCACGGCACAGAGGGTGTGGAAAACAAATGTGATATTTCTGATGCTTAAAGGTTTTTAGAATTTGAACAGAAAGCCTCGTGAAAGAACGTTCGGTCTTCATGGAAGTGTGTTGTAGAATGACTTTCATTTGACTGTTTGTTTGGTCAGGGTTACTGCAGGTTCTTAATAAATAGGTTTAAAAATATCCAGAATACATTTGAAATAAGTAGCAGTACAGAATGCATCCCACCTGTTTTACAATTAAAATTTGAAGGGACACTGCAGTGATTTAGCATTGCAGTAGTATTAGTATAGTATTGAGGAAATTGAAGCAGCAGAGAGTGAGATATACTGACTATAGTATCATTAAACCCTCCCTGCCTGATAAACGGTTACGTGCCTTTAACCCAGTCTACCTCATTTGTAACGCATGCTTTCTGTAAAATAAAAATAATTCATAATTCAGTCATAATTCGAGCCGAAGCTTAGAGAACTGATGATAGACAGGTTTATTTTCTCAGACGTGACAAAGCTCCTCCAGAACTGCTTTATGTGAACTATAACAAAAAAGTGGTTTCAAAGGTTACTTAACATCTTTAAATCCAGCTTAGAGAGCAATGACCGAAATGAATCATTTAAAAAAAAAAAAGAAGAATCTAAAATCCCCATTTTTAACAAATTAAGAATTTTGATCCCGAGCAGGAAGGTTTTCTCCAGGATGAACAGAGATGAGGAGCGAGGAGGAGTTTCATTTGATTTTTCATTTTTAACATCCCTCCGAGTTTGGTTTGTTTCTGTGTGTGTGCTCCTCTTGCGTTTGTTACAGTTCAGTATATTAATATTAAAAGCCCGGTCATTGAGGAGCCATATTGGAGCTAACCTGTTTCCAAACTGTGACTGTGAACATTGTGTTTTTTGTTTTGTTTGTTGTGTTTTTTTTAAATTTGAATATGTTCTAAACCGGGGCTTAAAGGGCCAAAACTGAAAGATGCAAAAATTGACTGACTCACTGCAAATATAGTCAGTGCTTGCTGTGCTCAGACTATGAAAAATAATTAGGGATCCTACATATTTAAATACCATTTTTACCTCACAAAAAAACGTATTATTTTATTCCAGGGTTCTTTTAGCATAGAACAGTTGCAAAGCGTAACCCTCTTGTCTCATGTTTAATGTGTTTTCTTTACATCTGATCACATTTTGACAGGTTAGACTGTGACAGGCCCTTTGTTGTATTTCTGCATCATTTCCTGTTTTATCTTCAGTTAAACATCAATGAAACATCAAGTTTGTCATGGAGTGTGCGTTTACACTTCCTGTGTTCTATTCCATTTAATTCTGCCTTTACATGTGTCGCCCTCAGTCGTACACTTGGGGAGCTCAGTAGGAGATTATCTGTGTGTATTAAAGCTTTTTTGCACTTGTCTGTTCTTTTTTTGTCAGCGTCTGCAAAACTGAGGAGGCAAAGGACGACACTGAAAGCAAAGCTGATGGAGGAGAGGACAGAGACGAGAGCAGCAAGGTGAAGAGGAAGTTCTCCTGAGACGCAACATTAGCGTTTAAAAAGCTCTCTCTCCGTCTTTTATTCTCGCTCTCTTTCTCCCACTCTATCACTCCGCATACAACCTGAGATTCACTCACTGTAGTCTCTTTAGATAAAAAGTCTAATTTTGTGTGGTGATGGTTAAGATTTCTTATGGGATTTTAAAAATTTTGGATCCTTCCAAGTTGGCATCTAGGTACTGTAAAAGTAGCTGTGTAGAGTTAATGATGCATTTTAACACACAACACTTTTAATACCAGAACAGATGATGTGTAAAATATAATCTCTGGTATCTTTTTTATTGCTTATTAGATCAGGTTTCACCTATCTTTGCTTTTTTGTCTTTTATCTTTGCCGTGCAGCTACATTTTCTGCACCGCTGTATTTTTAAACTTTATAGTAAAAATTACGTTTCCAGTACCTGATCTGTTCTCGTCATGCAAGATTGAATTAAATGCTTATGTGAGGGGAAATATCTGCAACCTGAGCTGCAACGTACATCTCAATGATCTTGTCATTTAAAATGTGCAACATACTTTTCTGTAAATGCTGCAGAAATAATCCTAAACATGACCAAAAGGTTTTTATTAAAGTTTCCTTTCATTATAAGACCAGTAGTTATAAGATTGGTATGTTTTTTTCTTTTGTAGGAAAGGAAATATCATTGTTCTTCTTTTTTTTTGTAATACAAAAGTTTTTGGTTCCTAGTAGTTATGTGTTACAGTTGTAATTTTTTGTAAATTTGTTGTTGTGTTCATGCTGATTCTCTTCACTGATATTTGTGTGTCTTTAATTCACAGGGAGAGGAAACCTGCTCCAGCACAGATACCTCAGACAAGCCTGACAGTACAGGTCCAGGTGAGACGCACTGTGCAGTTACATGAACATATTTATTAATATCAAGAAGTCTGTAGACAGAATGCGTCTTTGGGGAGAATGTTTTCCATAACCTGAACAGGAGAATCTCAACAAGAACACAAACACAGTGAAGCGTCTTTAAATAAAGGATCTACAGAGGCACACAAATAAATGCCAAATAGTAGCTGTATAATGTCGTGACATTTGCAGGTCTTAAAGGGAATTTAAGCTTCCATTACCATTAGTCATTTTCATTTTTCTGTAATGAGTCAGACAACATAATATACTTTCTCTCCACTCCATCTCCCCCTCTATGCAGTCCAAGAGGACGATGTTTCATACTGTATCTAAACCCATTTCACCTTTCAGCTCAAGTCTTCATGCTCTGCAGAGTACGGGCTTATCCAATGTGTGAAATTAGTTTTGATACTTTTAATGGTGCTCAGTGTCTCAGTGGGTACATTTAATGCACATCTAGTTGTTGAATGGTACTCTGGAGAAAGATACAAATACCCTGTTACTCATTCTTCTGGTGTAAATGAGCGATACAGTAATGTTAAAATGATCTGTACTCCATAAACGTTTTGTATTCAGAAGATACAGGTGCATTTGAGGTCCAGTCTTTAACATTTACTACATTCCATGTAGTCCACTGTTTCTACAGTAGCCCAGAACGGACAAACCAAACTCTGGCTGTGTTGGGACCTTTCACATTTTTCAGAAGTTTCAGGGCCACAGTAGTTTCTCCTACATACTTCACAGTCCTTTCTTATTCCCAGGTCTTCAAATACAGACACAAGCAGGGTTCAGTTAGTTACAATCTGCAACAACTTCACTTCTAGATGCCACTAAATTCTACACACTGGTCCTTTAAGACCGTATATTTGGGTATAAGAACACAATGTTTGATTGCCTCAGCTCAAGTTCTGTGGTTTCTAGTGGGGATTTCAGGTTCTAGTAAATGATCTGTTCAGATCCAGGGGCCTTTTTAAAAAAAATAATTGTCTGGAATCTACGTTTTAATGAAGTTAAACCTCTCACAAATAGATCTTCTTGGAAAATGAAGTGGGCATTCAAATATACAGTATGCAAGGTTGAATACAATCATAGAGCAAGGTTCTGCTTTTAAATGGAACTAGGCATTGAGTCTCAGTACTTTTTAAGTAGTGACCAAACTGCGTTAGCAGGATGAGTTTGTATTATATCTCCTTATTTCCTAATGATGAACTTTCTAAATGTAGCAGCAAAAAGTCCGTGTACAGCTCCAGCATCCCTGATTCTCAGAAAGCGTGCGTCTCGTCTCCACAGATTCCCAGATGTCAGGTGACTTGTGCGCCCAGGATGGAACATTGGTCACCACGACGACAACAGGAACAGGCACCGGGGTTGCGGCGCTCCACGTTGTCCAAGCCCGGCCCCTCTGGCCCACTGGCCCCGCCTTGACAGCCCGTTTACGCAGGCTGATTACCGCCTACCAGCGCTTCACGCTGCGCCGCGAGCCGCTGCTCAGGCACGACTTCATGCTTCACGACGGCCTCGTTGGCATGGGGATGGGAGGAGCTGGAGCCGCTCACAGTCATCACGCTGGTGGGCCGCTGGCATGGCAACTGGGTGAAGAGCTGAGGCGGTGTTCTGTGGTCGCAACAGAGCCTGACCCCCTTTTTCTGGAGTGGCAGAGGAGGTAACGATGAAATTCAGAGACAGAAAGAAACCAATTCTGCACTTCTGTGTTATAACATTGGTGCATCATGGAGGTCTGTTTCAGGAAAAAATTGGAAATTCATTTAAAAGAAAGTTTCAAAACATCCGTTTCACACTTTAAAATATGAAAATTATTTTCACCAGTCACTCAGTCAGTTTTTCGTGTTTGAAGATACTTTGAAGTACAGCAAAAAGTAAAGTTTACACTTATGAGATAAAATATACCACTTTATGTTCAGTTCTTCCTCTTCTTAAACACATCACACAGAACTTTAATAAAAGCGCTCTTCAGACAACTTTCCATAGAGCAACACAAACATCTGGTTTATTGCAAGAAGCCTAGAGGCTACACGTAGTCATTATTCCTACTCTTTAAATGACAGTAGGTGTGTGAATCTACAGTATGTATTCAAAGCAAAAATCTTCCTCCAGCATCTTGTTTAATACATAAGCACAGCAGGTTGTCTTGAAATCTGGGCGTTTCAACTTCAGGAAGCATCTGTTTATGTCTCTCATTTTGATCAACACCCCTAATATAAAACTTCATGAATATATTTGAAACATAAACAGCCTTTGTCCTCCTCCATCCCCTTTAAGGTGGACTCGTCGAGAACAAGCCGATTTTTACCGCACTGTGTCGTCGTTTGGGGTGGTGTATGACTCGGAGAGGAAGACCTTCGACTGGTCCCAGTTCAGAGCACTGGCTCGACTGGAGAGGAAGACGGACGAGAGTTTGGAGAGATACTTCAACTCGTTCGTCAACATGTGTCGGACAGCCTGCAAACTGCCTCCAAGGAAGGAAGAAGGTATTGTGTATAGTCAGACAAACATACAGACGTGCTATTTAAACTTGACACCGAGGGTCTGACACAAACATCAGCAATGGACTGAACTTACCACTTGGTTTCTGTGGTTGTTTTAAATGCCACAGTTGGCTGGTTTTACAATATAAATACACGGTTGACTGTAAAAGCACACACTGCATTATTTACAAGTCATCGGCCTCATTGGGGTGTAGCTGCAGACCTCATTTCTGGGGAACATTACTGACTCCTGCTGGTGGGAGGATTCATTTGCTTCTCTTTGACAGTTAACTACATCTAATTATATTAAAACTCACCAAATAAATCAGAAAAATATAGAACATTTTAAATTGTAAATAAAACTGTTTGTGTAAGGGAATATTACATCTAAATATTGCATCATCACAAATGTGACCCCTCAAATAAATGTAAACTGGGTATTATTTACCCTTCCATGTTGACATAAATTGCATATCTTCTCACCTCGATGATAAAAACATCAGGATTAGCAATATATTTCGATGATGGCTGACAGGAGGATGTATAACACACTCACACACGTCTGTTAAGCTGCTGTATGTGTGTGGGAGTTGTAAACTCATCAAAGACAGGAGTGACTCACAGTGCACACACAAACATGCTTGAACTTATTTTTCTTTCTCTCATCCCCCTACCTTCATCCCTTATACCTTCTTCATGTCTCTCCCTGCCTCCGTGCCAGTGTTGACCGTCTCTCTCGTTCCTTCCAGGTTTGGTGGATCCAGCTGTGCTTGTAGAGCCTCTGACAGAAGAGCGAGCTGCCCGGACTTTATACCGCATCGAGCTGCTCCGAAAGATCAGAGAGCAGGTGGGCTGTTTGAAGAAACACTTCATCATTAATACTAGTTTTCATTGTTGCAGCTCAAACTGAGAAAGTTTACTTCTAAAGTTTGTCTCCAACAGAACAATTGTTTGTGTAGAGTCTGGAATGACCTTGTGTCGGTGCATTGATTGATGCACAAATAAACCTTATTCATCACTCTTGACTTTTTACCTGTAGCATCCGATCGATGCAATAGCACCCTTCTTCTTGTGTCATAAATAAACGTCTGGTGAAGACGGACATCCATCTACATAGAAATCAGTTTTCTTCAGTGTCAAAAGTGATCCAGTTGATTGGTTTGCAGTGATGACCACAGCTTTTTGATGTAAGCACATAAACAGACCAAAACTTCAGTTTACATAACATTTTTGAAAAGTACAATTTTTATGTCAAACAAGGGCATTTCTGGCTAGCCTAACCTAGCCATGATATTTCTGACATTTTGTAACTCATGTAAATAAAGACAATGAAAACCAAGTAAAAATGGGTTTAAGTGGTTAAAGCAAACAGAAAGTGTCTGCTCTTTGCCTTTTTAGGGCTGTGTTATACTGATAAATTGTAGATTAAAGATGACCATCATGGACTGTGATGTGTTCTGGTTTTAGACAATGTTTTATTCCACCAGAAGCGCCTTATCACTTTTCAGTAGGTCCCAGAAGCGGCTCTCCGCTCTTTTCCACAGAAAATACGGTCTGTTTTTGAAGGAAGCAATGGCCAGCTGTGTTATGCAGCACCGAGCAGATTAACTGGCAGGGAGTCAGACATAGAAGCGGCATAAGTAAAAATACACACAAAGGAAACTACGTAGCCTGCTTACCCATTGTAGTAGCACATAAATCAAGAAAAAATTACCAAATCTGAGGATGTTTATAAAATCTGGTTGGCAAAAATGCTCTGTTTCTGAAACTCTCCCAGTGGGGCATTAAGCTTAAAACCGCATAGCTGACGCTGCCGTGGCGTTATTGTTACCTTTTTAAAGTGGAACTTTACAACATGCTGTATTTTTTATGGCTCTCTGAACTATCTATCTTTCCCCCAGGTTCTCCGTCACCCGTTAATGTCGGCCCGCCTCCAGCTGTGCCGCCCCTCCCTCTACCTCCCGGTCTGGTGGGAGTCTGGCAAACACGACCGTGACCTCCTCATCGGGGCTGCGCGCCACGGCTTGAGCCGCACCGACTTCTACATCCTGAACGACCCCCAGCTGAGCTTCCTGGAGGCTCACAGGAACTACGTCAGGGGACACCCCTCTCATCTTCATCCTCAAAGTCATCATCACGCTCACCATCCGGGCCTGGCGACTCATCCCGGCATCTCGTCTTCTTCCTCCTCCTCGTCTCATCCGCAGCTGCCTCACCCTCACTGCTGTCTGTATGATTCTGGCCACTCCCCCCAGCCTCCTGAATATCCCCACCAGTCCTCTCACCACCACCATCATCATCATCACCAGCATCACCCCGCACCAACATCGGCTCCGTCTCCTTCTTCCTCCTCTCACCCCCACCTCCACCCTCCGCCATTGGATGCCCACAATTCTTCCTCACCGAGTCTGGGAATAGTTCCTGGGTCACGGGGAGATTTCCTCGACTGTCCTCCTTTGGATGACACCCTGGAGCTTGGTTCGCTGCACCATGACGCCATGTCTGCAGAAGCTTTACATGGAGGGAAGGCATCCAAAGACGCCCTCAACGGGTTCCCATTCAATTCAGCCACAGGAGGTCAAAGCATGCTCAATTCGTACGGTGTTGGGGGAACAGACCTTGATTCAAAACTAAGGAGTGACGTGCTTGTTGGTGAGCAGGGCTCCTCAGAGGAAACCGGACTGATGGCACCGTCAGTGGAGCTGGATCAGTTACAGGTAAGCACCATGATTTAAATCTCCATTCTCCTTAAGTAGTGACCTGGTAAATTGTGTGATGCATCGTTGTGTGATTAATTCGTCCATCACCTTCGTCTCTGCAGGCTCCCTGGGACGGCACAGACCACTCCAGTCCAGCTCACCACATGTTCAATGAATCCGATCCAATCCTGGGTCCTTCCACTCTGGAGACTGGCTTCCTGGAGGAGGAGGATGAGGAGACACAGGGGGGAGACAGAGGAGGGGAGGAAGGTGGAACTCTGGAGGAGTGTTTGGGCCTCCCGCCCTCATCCTCTCCTTCCCACCCCTCTGCAGAAGATTCTGTGGAGCCACTGTCCTCAAGTTACATGCTCTTCAAGGTTGGTTTTTGGATCCAGTGCCATCAGTGTAACATTGGCAGCTTAGAGTAAATGATTAACAGTTATATTATGTAAATAACTCCAAAATTAATCATTTATGTATAATTAATAGGAAAAAAGGAAAGAAACAAGAAGAAAAAATAATGTATAATTAAGAAATGGACTGAAAATTTAATTTCTTTTTACATTTTACATTGTGCTGAGCCCTGAGACCTTCTGTTCTCTAATCATTGTTAGAATTATGGAACAGTGTTTAATTTCGAAGTAACGACAGACACCAGACCAAAATAAGACCACGCAACAAGATCACACTGATGTTCAATGCTGTGAATTATGTTCCACTGCTGTACTTTACATCAGACTAAAATCTTCTTACGTACAAAACAAAAACTCATTATGTAACCAATATCTAGTAAAATGATTGAGGCTTGAGTAAATCTGATTTTCACACTTTTATTTTATGTATTCAGGAAATTGGTGTGAGCGAGGAGCCCAGCGCAGATCAAACCGACCTGTCAGCGAGCCCCCCTCCTCCCTACGTCCCCCCTCCTCCCCTCTCTCTGTCTGACATCACTGCCCATGAGCCGCAGGATAGGCTGGGCCACTCTGACGTCACTGAGAGCCTGACCAATCCGGTGGAGGAAGGAGAGGGCCAGGAAGGAGGCGCTGAGTTTGAGTTTAATGACAAAGAGGAAGACGAAGTGGAAGACTTATCCACAGCCACCATGGAGCAGAACAAACTAAGAAATCAAAGTCTAGACAATGAGGAGTGTGATGAAGACCAAGGTATGTCAAAAAGCACCTTTAGTGTTCACAGTGTATTCTAAAACTGATTCCTTTTTCCATAAGTGACCACAGGAAAGGAGTTTAGAAACTGTGTCCTAAAAAGTGTCCTTTTGGAAGCATATTAAATAATCTACCCGAACAAATTAACCAATTCTATTGTTTAACAGTCTAAATTATGTTGTAAGATAAATCTACCCTTAGCAGGCTGATAAAAAGTAAATACAACTCCTTAACTCCCCATAAGCCACAATGTGTTGGATCTGAAAACTTTGGCGACCCCCAGTGGTGTCACTGAGACGATGTGAACACATAGACTTTATAATTTTTCCACTGGGACTATGTTCTTTTTCCACAAAAAAAAAACTTTTACCATTAGAAAAACTTGTACAGTGGCTTTAATTTAACTTTGTGTGGATCCTTTACACATGATTTAACTTTGATTGAACTAATATTGCCAGGCACTACTTAACATCTTAATCATTTATCCTCCCAGGTGCAGACCAGAGTTTGGGAGTCTTGAATCCACCGATGGAGGTACCACAGATGGATGGGATAGAGCCAGAGCCGGGTCTCAGGGAACAGGACGAGAGGATGGAGGTCTCAAACCAACTTTCTCAAGACCTCCAGGAAAGCTTTGACCAAGAAGAGCAGAAAGAGGAGTTGCCGCAACATGTGCACCCTTATCTTGGGAAGCTGGGGCAGGAGGGTAGCCTTGCGTGTCCTGTGTCTATTGAAGTGCCTGGAGAGGAAGTGGATGGGTTGATTTTGTATCAAACAGTAGAAGAAGACACAATAGAAAGCTCTCTTGACGCTGAAACCTTAATGGGAGACGCAGCTGGAGAGTTTGTACGAGTGGGAGGAATTCCAGAAGATTCCAGAGAGGAGGGTTCAGGGGATCTTGCAGATCAAGTGGATGAGATCTCAGAAGGGCAGATGGATCACGTTTCTCTCATGGATGTTGCAGTGGTTCAACCCTGTGATGACACAGCAGAAAAGGCTGTGAAAGAACATGACGCCAAACCAAATGAGATGGAGCTGGAGAGCATTTACTCAGAATACGCACAGCCCTCCTGCCCTACTACTTCTGTCTCATCCCCTGCAGTCCCATCAAAGTCTGATGACAGCACCACAGACAGCAGCGGCGGAGCTGGAGTCAAAATTGAAGTCTCCATGGATCAGGAAAACTATGAAGGTACAGTTGAAGATCTGACTTTACCAGATGGCAGCAGACACTGTACGAATAGAGCCTTGACATTCTCCCTTGATCAGGATAACAAAGACAACCTGCTTGAGCAAAATAAAATAAAAATTCTGCCTATTCTACCTGCAAATAGTATTGACACAAAGCCATCTGATCTTAAATTTTCTCTTTTACCAGACAGTGGTGGCGAGAAGAAACCTCAGCAATTGGAGCTGCCAATCAAGGTGGAGGAGACCAAGACAGAGGCTGCCGAGGACGTCTATCCCGACAGCTCTGAGGTCAAACATGGAAAATTCTTTTCCTACGCCGTTAAGACAGAAGACTTGGTGACCAAAGCTGAGCAGTTAGACTATCCTGTCAAACCAGAAACACTGGAGACCAAACCTGAAGATCTCAGCCTTCCTATGAAACCTGAGCGCTTAGACAGTAAACCTGAAGTCCTCCAGTTTGCAGCCTACTCAGAGGGCGCCGAAATCAAACCTGAAGCAAAACCAGTAGCTCTCAGATTTTCTGCTTACCCAGATGGGGCGAAGCTTAAGACGGAGACAAAGCCAGAGGGTTTGGAGTTCACAACGTACCCAGACAGCTCTGAGATCAAACCTGAGGCCAAGCCAGAGGGCCTGGAGTTTAGAGCTTTACCCGAGATCAAAGCTGAGACGAAGCAAGAGCTGTTGGAGGCGGACAGCACAGTCCTGACCCCGAAGCTGGAGCAGGTGGACGGGCTGGTCGACACCTCAGGAAGTCTGGTGAAAGGCCAAGTGAAGGAGGAGAGGCCAACTACTCCAGGTAACTTTTCAAAGGTTGATAGACATTAGAGCTGCATTTCTAGTCTAATCGTTTTAATGATACCATTAACAGCAAACCACAGACAACGCTGTGTTCTGACGTTTCCTTTCTTGTTGTGATTGTAAGACTTTAATTATGTTGGAAAATGCTCTGATTCTAAAAAGGAGGCACATTGCTGAGCTCAAACCCGTCATCCTCTTCCATAGTGCCTGTGGTCGAGGGCTATGTGGGCAGCCCAAGGTTTGCAGCTCCTATTTCCATGTGTGAGATTCCCGACAGCCTCCACGACACCAGGGAGCCCACCATCGCTCAGCTCTTACAGGAGAAAGCACTTTACTCGTTTTCAGAGTGGCCGAAGGTACTGTTATGTCTAAAATGTCTGTATTTATAGAATTTGTTTTGCATGACATGCATCGCATGTTCAACGCAAAACCTTTTAGCAAAATCATTTGCTGAATTATGAGTTAAATGCAAATATTTATTCTTTGTGAATACCCTTCCAGTCCTTTAGTAGGCTATATGTAAGGGCTGCTTTTAGGTTTTAATGATTTTCAGCCAAAAAAAATCGTTTTAAGATTTTCCCCCTTGATATTGTATCACCAGGAACCCAAAAGTTGTGTTTTCTGCAACGACTACTGTGGTTTACAGAGAGCAATGTTGATGAGCACAGAAAGTCCTCCTGCAGTAGAAAGAGAAAAATAAGTAGAAAATATAAATGAGTCCATCTATGTAAAAAAAACATAAACAGTTTAACTAGAGAGTGGTTTTGATGCAAAAGGTATTTATAAAAACCCACTTTCACTGCGATTTCTGTGCTATTATTATCTTCTAATCCATTTTCTAGTTTTTAAATAAAAAAAAAAAAAGATCATGAGCACCTCTTCTCTGGTACTGTTGGGTCTCTGTAAATGTTAAAAGGAGTTCGGTCTAGACCTGCTCTATTTGAAAAGTAGAGATAACTGAGATAACTTCTGTTATGAATTGGCGCTATACAAATAAAATTGAATTGATTGAACAGATATTCACACATTTGGTGGCATGTAAGGTCTGCACATACAGGGCCCTCATGGACATGGGGAGATGATTTACATCACGCTATAATAATCTTGTAATTAATTATTAATATCTGTAAGGCATACAGTGCTTTACTGTTAATATTGATTCAGTAGGGGAGTATGTGAGTTTTAGGAAGGCTTAAAAACCGTTTTACAATATTTCCAAGATTGGATTAAACTTTTTACGGTTAATCTGCAGAACCATTCTCTGATTCGCCCTTTCATAAACATGTATAATTCTGCTGACATCAGTCAGACAGATC